CGTTGGCAGGGCAGCGGTCTCTCGCGAGCGTTGCGACGATCGGCCTGGGAGCGATCGGGGGAACCGCGGTGCTCGCAGGTGCCGCGTTGGCCTTCAGGCGCTGTGGCGCCCCCTCCGTGCCGGTGGATATCTCCGCGAACGAGGCCGCAGGGGAGGGCCAGCGCGCCCCGATCATGGCCTCGCAGTCCTGATCAGCCCCAGGGCACTCTGCCGGGGCGCGGCCGATGACCGAGCGCCGCGAGATCCTGGGCCTCGGGCCCTGGTGGCGCTCAAAGCACGCGCCGCCCGTAGCTGAATCTTCTGGCCCGGGGCCCCAAGAAGAACTTTGGGGGCACATCCGAGGGGGGCGGTGCTGCGGCGCCGCCTGGGGCGCAAAACGGAGCCCAATGTTTTGGGGCCCACGGGGGCCTGGGCATCCCCCTCGTTTTATAATTACTTTGAGCTTGAAGTTCCGCTGGACGCGAGGAAGCTTCGCTCCATTTTTCTACCCTCTGCTTTTAGCTTTCGGCGTTGGAAGCAACTCTGGGCGCGAGGAAGCTTCGCTTGAATTCATTTGGGGACGCGGTTTCCACATTTCTGCCCAGTTTGCGCTTGCGCTCTTGCGAAGTCTTTTTTAAAAAGGCTTCAAGAGCGTCCCCCAAAGGCATCCAACGATACTCCCAGCATGGTCTTGCCAGGCTCTCAAGGGTTCTCGGGCATCCGCCTGAGCCTGCCCTGTGTCCTTCTTCTGGACGCCTTGCGCAACTTCCTGGAGCGCTTATTCAGCGTCTCTCACCAGGAAGTACGCTCCCATATGGTGACCCTTGCCAGATGATGTCCATCCTCATCCGATCTTATGAGGTTGGCTAGGACTGCGCTAGAACCTAAGCGCGCGAAGCGCGCGCGTGGTTCTAGTATGTATGTATGTATGCATGCATACATGCATGCATGCATGCATGTGTGTATGTATGTATGTATGTATGGATGGATGTATATATGTAAGTATGTGTCTGTGTATGTATGTATGCATGTATGTATGCATGTATGTATGTATGTATGTATGGATGTATGTACGTGTGTATGCATGTATGTTTGTATGTATGTATGTATGTATGTTCGTATGTATATATGTATGTATGTATATATGTATGTATGTATGCATATATATGTGTGTACATATGTATATATGTGTATATGTTTGTGCGTATGTATATACAATATATATATATATATATATTATATATATATATATATGTATATATGTATATCTGTATATATATATATCATATATATGATATATATATATATATATGATATATATATAATATATATATATGCATATATATACATAATATATATGTATGTATGTATGTATGTATGTATGTATGTATGTATGTATGTATGTATGTATGTATAGCGGAGCAGACCTGGGGGGGGGGGGGGGGGGCGAGCCGCTGCTTGTACCCTCCAGGGGCGCCCCCCAGGGGGTCCGCGGGGTCCCAGAGCTCCCGAGACGGCCCGGGCCCGCCCCGAAACAGGCCACGACAGGCTGAGGGGCTCCCAAGAGGGCCCAAGACGATCCCGAGAGGCCCCGAAGACGCCCAAGATGCTCTGAAGACGGCCGACGAGGATTCCACCACACTCCAGGACGGACTCAAGCAAGAGGCTCCCCAAGAGGGCCCTGGGAGGCAAAATGCATTCATTTTCCAATGGCTTTTTGAGGATTTTGGCGTTCTCGCTTTTCCCGTTTCCCAGCGCCCCCTCACGGCCTCGGAGGCCCTTCAGATCGCTCCAAAACGGCCCACACGACCCCGCTCCCTAGACAACCCAAGTGTGCCCCAAGTGGAGGTCTCTGGCCCTAGAGGCCCCCAGTAGGCCCCCGGAGGCCACCAAGAGGCTCCCACGAAGCCCCGTGAGGCGCCCAAGAGGCCCCCAGGAAACCCCAAGAGGCCCCCAAGGGGCCCCCAGGGAACGCCCAAGAGGCCCCCCAACACACCCCAACAAATCATATGTCCCCAGAAAGCCTTCCAGGGACATGGGTCATCATGGGCCCGAGAGGCTCCGAAGAACCATCACGCTACCAGAGAGCTGTCTGGGAAGTTGACTGGGAACATGACTGATCGCCTGCTCGCGGCCCTCCTCGGATCGTTTCGCACAAAGTTGGCCCCAAGTGCCCTCTTGAACCGACGACGACGAAGACGACGAAACGACGAAAACGAGGACGACGACGACGTCACGCCCCAACAGGCTCTCCAAGACGCCCCCCAAATCCATGTTCCCAGAAGGCCTTCTGAGAACCCGATTCGTCAGCCCTCCGCCCCCCTACGCAACCATCTTCCCCGAAAGCCTTCCGGAATGCGGATTGACGCGCGTGGACTCCTCACTGCCCGTAATGCGTTCAGCGCTGTGGACACTTCTTCACTTCCCGTTCAACCCACATGTGGTCCACTACTTCAGTGGAGCAGGGCACTCGTCAAGGCCTGGGTCCTGCTAGCACCTGAGCGCGCGCGAAGCGCGCGCGCGATACTTCTAGCGCATTCGTATGCGCGTCTAAGGCGAGGGTGCGCGGCGGGGGCCCGATCGCGAGGGCGGGCCGCCCTCCACGCCGTGCAGCTGCTCTGCTGCTCTGCGGCGGTTCTGCGTGGGCGTGCTCCTCCTCCTCCTCCTCCTCCTCCTCCTCCTCGGACGGCGTGCGGCTCCTGTCGTGGGCGGTGGCGAGTCACTCGGGCGAAGCGCTCGGCCCGTGCTGGCGACGCGGCCGGTGGTGGGGCAGGGAGGAGTTCTCGATCACGAAGGTGGAGGGGCAGGGGGAGCGAGATGGGGAAAGGGAGGGGAACGGGGACGGGGAGGGCACGTCGCAGAAGGTGGAGGAAGAGGAGGAGGAGGAGGAGGAGGAGGAGGAGGAGGGCAGGGATGAGGATCCGGTGTATTAGGAGGCAGAAGGGAAAAAGGATAGAGGAAAGAGGACGGCTGAAGGAGAAAGGACATTGAAACATGGAGGGGGGAGGCGGGCAGAGGAGGAGGAGGCAGGGTGAGGTGAGGAGGAGGAGGAGGAGGAGGAACAGGAACAGGAGGAGGAGGAGGAGGCATACTTAGGAGGAGGGGGTAGGGGAAGAACGAGGAAGGCAATGACCGCCACGATGACGATACGGAGGTTCCGCTTGTCGTTGTCGGTGGTTGGTTGTCTACACTTGCTCGTCTTTGACATCGTGTCCTCGGTCAACTAATTCGGCTTCGCGCGCCCCCGCTCGCCCGTTGAGGGTCCAGTGCCGCGCCCCGTGGGAGCGCATCGCGATCGTTCTTCCTCGACGCTCTCCTCTGCTCTTCTCTTCTTGGCGCGAGGGGCCCGCCCGCAGCAAGCTGGAAGGACTTTCGCCACGAAGGGCAGAACACCTGATGAGGAGGAGGGAGCCAGCCCACCTGCGTACATCCGGCTGCAAGACAACCGAGAGGATAATAATGATGGAGAAGAATGGGGAAGGGGGGATATGAGGAGGAGGGCCAAGAGTTGATGGAGGACGACGGCGGGAGGAGGAGGACGAGTGGGATGAGCAAGATGTGGCCTCAGCATCATGAAGACGAACGCATGGCGCCCTCCTTTGGTGGTCGTTCGGATGCGTTTTGGATGCGCTCGCGTGCCCATCGAAGGCTTTCTCAGTTATCTTATGGGCCTCTTCTGCAGCCTCGGGGGCTTCTCGGGGGTGTTGAAAAGGGGCCTCTATGACCGTGTTGGGAGCCCACTGGGCCGTCTCAGGCGCCTCTGAGTGGCGTTTGGGGGACCTCTTAGGAATAAGGGGTGGAGCGTGGCGGGATCCCCAGCCCTTCTTGAGGGTCGCGTTGGAGACAAGACAAAATCAACAAAACTGCCTTGCACTGTGTCTTGCTTGTTGGCGACTTCGGCCTCTGGGCCGGAAAGACCCTTTCACAGTCAGGGCTTTGAGGTGACCCCCTTCACCGGGAACTCATAGGGGGCCACTTGCGAACCCTACCCCTACCCCCCACGATTTCTGAGGGGGAGGGTGGGGTTCACTTCGCTCGGGGGCTTCTGAATGAAGTGAACCCCACCCTCCCCCTCAGAAATCGTGGGGGGTAGAGGGTTAGGGTTCGCAAGTGGCCCCCCAACTCAGAGACTGGGACCGGGGGAGCCTGGGGAGGCCGGTTGGATGTGCTCGCGTCTGCGCTGCTTCTCTCGGTTGACCCTGCAGGGGCTCCTCGCCTGCGTGCCGTCGCCTGCCCGGCCTGGTGTTTTTGTTGACGTCTTGCCCAAGGGCTCCCACGAGGGCGCGACGTTATTCGAGCTTCGCGGTCCTCGTTCCTTCTCCCCCTCCTCCTCGCCCTCCTTCTCTCCCTTTGGGGGGGCGGCGCCAGGGCGCGAAGTTAGTCGCGCTCTCGCGCTTCGCGGAGCGCGAGAGCGCGAAGTTGGGAGCCATAGTTGCCTGGCTTATGCGTGGGTGCGTGTGCTCGTCGTTTCGAAGTTCTGCATGCTCGATTCAGTCGTTTCGTCAACATTGTCTACTTGTGAATGATGTTGCACGCGTGCGTAGGAGTCCCTTTGCTTGCCCGTGCTGATCACGATTCGAGACTTCTCCGAAGCGTCTCGGATCTATGGCGTGCCTTCCTAGACGTTCCTTGGGGAGGCGTTTGCGGAAAGCCCCTCCAGGTGGCGAAAAGCAATGGATTCGATTGCGCCGACCTTCGCGCGCAAGTTGCCCGCGTAAGGTCGCGCGTGAGCGCCGTCGTCTCCAATGTGGCGTGCCGCGCCGGCGGCCTGCGTACCCATCGGTCGTTGAAAGTCGGTATTTTTGGATTCCCGGGTTCCAATCTACTCTAGGCGCTTTCCTACTTCAAGGATCGAGTGGCTTCGCCCTTTCCGTCCTCCTCAGGGGGCGGGCGGACAACCCAATCTCTTTCCAACGCCTTCCTGCGTCATGTCTCTGCCCACTTCTTCCGACCGGTGGGCAGGCCGCCGCGTGAGGTCGCTGTGGCATCTTGCGCAAGGCCCGTTTCTCATCGCCCCCCAGGTGAAGGCCACGACGGTGGGCCGCAGCCGGGGCGTCTACACGCCGCCGACGCTGAATCTGTAGACCCGCCGGGCGCCTCGGAGGGCAGCAGTGCCACCGTGACGGGGGGCGCCGCGCGCCAGGCGTAGGGGAGGATGGTCGTCGTCGTCGTCGTCGCCGCCGCCGCCGTCATCGTCGTCGTCGTCGTCGCCGCCGCCGCCGCCGCCGTCATCGTCGTCGTCGTCGTCGCCGACGCCGCCGCCGCCGCCGCCGTCGTCGTCGTCGTCGTCGTCGTCGTCGTCGTCGTCGTCGTCGTCGTCGTGGGGAGGAGGCTGCGGAGGCGGAGGCAAGCGAGGAGGAGGAGGAGAAGGAGGAGGAGGAGGAGGAGGGAGGAGGAGGAGGCGGCGCAGGCGCACGGCCCGCGGACAGGGCTCGGGCTGCCGTGAGATGCCGCGGGCGGGGTGGAGCGCGGGGCTCCTCTGCTGCCCGCCTGCGGAGCACCTGCAGACAGCCGCCGTACAGTGCCGTTTTTTATACATGCTCCGCGTGCAGATCATGTATTAACAATGCAGGGATCTAGAATTTAAAACAACGGTGAGTTCATACATACATTTATTCATAAATTAATCATGTATTAAAATCCCATGCTTTTTGTTTTAAATCCCATGTATTAAAAACTGCCCTGTACGTCTCCAACGTATGTCGGGGGGGTCCTCTCGCCAAGGGGCGGCGCCCCAGAGCAGGCGGGGGGGGGGGAGAGGGGGCCGCGGAGGGGAGATGGGGAGCGGTGGAGGAGGAGAGTGGGGAGAGAGGAGGGTCCGAGGGACGGACGGGGAGAGGGCGAGGGAGAGGGCAGGAGAGGGGGGAGGGGGGAGGATGGCAGAGGGGAGACGGCGAGGGATGATGGAGGATGGGAGGGGAGCGGGAGCCCGGAGTCAACGATCGACGCCCGATCCAGAACCCTGCTGCTGCCCCCCCCTCTGGGTGCCAGGGGGGGGGGGGCATGGCATGGAGAGAAAGCGTGGCCCTGGAGGCCAGAAGTTTCTCTGCGCCTCCGCTCTGGCTTCTCGTGGGGCTGGGGCGTGGGCGGGGGCACGTGCAAGAGGTCGATCGCCTAAGGTCGGCGCCACGCAAGCATACAGTCGGGGCGCTGAAGAAGGAACCCTTTTCGTTGGGGAGGGGCTCGGTATTCCTTGATTGTTTTGCAGTTTGCCTTGGGTTTTCCTTTGGCTTCCCATGGGAAATCGAAGCTTAACTTATGGGAAAAAGGGTCCTCGTTTCTTATTGAGGGTTCCTTAGGTCAACGCCCCGACTGTAGGCAAGATGCGCGTCGGCCACGCAAGGGCGACGCCCACGCCGGGAAATCTTCCAGCAGAAGCTCCGTGGCGGGCTCTTCCTGGTCATGCCGCTCGGGAGGCAGTCGACTAGGTGCTGTACTGCATGCTCGGGCCGGACGTGCGTCTCCGACGGAGGCACATCGTATTTGTATGTCCTTGTGCGCCCTGCGTGGAGGCGAGAGAAGGGCGAGGACGGGAGGAGCAGCAGCACGAGGATGGCCTGGCATCGCTCGGACGTGTGCATTTTTCTAGGCGAAGCCAGCGACAGATCATCTGGATCATCTTGGCCCAGTGTCCGCGGCGCGCCTGGGGGGGGAGTGAGAACGAGAAGGCCTTCTCAGAAGGCGGCGAGACGTCTAAGAAGCCCTCGCGCCTTCCCAGAAGTTTTGAAATAGTGCGCTCGCGGCACACTTCTCACTAAGAAGGGGGGCCCAGCTTCAAGCCAAAGGGAGGTGGGGGGGCTTCCGAAGCTACCCCCCTCCCTTCCTTTTGTTTGGACACTGTAGCTGGGGGTCCCTGGCTTAAGCGTGGGGGGGCTTGGAAGCTAACTGGCCCCCCCCTCCTTTCCGGGGCCCGGAGTCAGCCCGGGCTCCCTTTTCAAAGGGGGGGGGGGGCTTCCGAAGCTACCCCCTCTCCCCTCCCTCGGCATCGCTCGGACGTGTGCATTTTTCCTTCGGCGAGGACCATCGAGGAGCATCCTTGGCCATTTCGCGAAAAAACCACGCACGAAACCGAAACAAACACAGGAAATGGGCGTCCGAGCGATGGCCAGCCTCCTCCTGTTGGCTTTTCCACCTGGAGGGCCCTGGCTGAAGGGGGGCTTCGAAGCTACTTTTCTTCTTTGGTTTTCGGCGCCCCTTTGGTTTGCGGCGTGCTTGTGGTTCTCGGCGTCTCTTTGGTTTTCGGCGCCTCTTTGTTTTTCGAGGCCCTTTGGTTTTCGGCGCCTTTTTGGTTATCGGCGCGTCCTTGGTTTTTGTCGGCGCTTCATTGGTTTTCGGCGCTTATGTGTTTTTCGTCGCTCCTTTGGTTGTCGATGGTTCTTTTGGTTTTCTGCGCACGCTTTGGTTTTCGGCGCATCGTTGATTTTCGGCGCCATTTTGGGTTCTGGCGCCCCTTTGGTTTTGTTCGCCCTCTTGGTTTTCGGCGCTCTTTGGTTTTCGGCGCCCCTTTGGTTTTGGGCGATCTTCGGCTTTCAGCGCTCCTTTGGTTTTTGGCGCCCTTTGGTTTTCGATTCGTTTTTGGTTATCGGCGCGTCTTCGTTTTTTCGGCGCCCTTTTGGCTTTCGGCACATCGTTGGTTTTCGGCGCCCCTTTCGTTTTCGGCGCCTCTTGGGTTTTCGGCGCCCCTTTGGTTTTCGGCGCTCCTGCGGTTTTTGACGCTCCTTTGGTTTTCGGTGTCTTTTTTGTTTTCGGCGCCCAGTCCGTCTTCGGAGCTTCTGTTGTTTTCGGCGCCCCTCTCATTTCCGGCGCCCCGCTGGTTTTTCAGAGCCCTTTTGGTTTTCGGCGCATCGTTGATTTTTGGTGTCCCTAGGGTTCTCGGTGTCCTCATGGTTTTCGGCGCCTCTTGGGTGTTCGGCGCCCCTTCGGTTTTCGGCGCCCTCTTGGCTTTCGATGCCCCTTTGGTTTTCGGTGTCCTTGTGGTTTTCGGCGCATCTTTGGTTTTCGGCGCACCTTTTCGTCTTCGGCGTTTTTGTTGGTTTTCGTCTTCCTTTCGTTTTCTGCCCCCGGGGTTTTCGGCGCTCCTTTGGTTTTCGGCGCCATTTCGGATTTCGGCGCTCCTTTGGTTCTCGGCGCCCTTGTGGTATTCGGCGCCTCTATGGTTTTCAGCGCTCCTTTGGTTTTTCGGCGCCGCTTTGGTCTTCGGTGCCCTTTTGGTTTTCGGCGCTCCTTTGGTTTTCGTCACCGGTTTGGTTTTCGGTGCCCTTTTGGTGTTTGGCGACTTTTTGGTTGTCGGCTCCCTACTGGTTTTCGGCTTCCCTTCTGGTTTCCGGCGTCATTTTCAAGTTCGGCTACCCTGTACGGTTTTTGGCGCCGTTTTGGGTTTCGTTGCTCCGTGGTTTTCGGCGCCATTTTGGTTTTCGGCGCCGCTCTGGTTGTCTGCGTTCTTTTGGTTTTCGGCGCCTTCTTGGTTTTCGGCGCCCTGCTGGTTTTCGGAGTTTTTTTTTTGGTTTTCGGCGCCTCTTTGGTTTTCGGCGTTCACTCGGTTTTGCGGCGCCTTTTGGTTTTCGGCGCCCCTTGCTTTTCGGCGCTCTTTCTATTGTCGGCGCTCCTTAGTTGTCGGCGCTCCTTTGGTTTCCGACGTTCCTGTGGTTTTCCGCGCTCCTTTGGTTTTCGGCGCCCCTTTGGTTTTCGGCGCTCCTTTTGGTTTTCGGGGTTCCTTGGTTTTCGGCGCCTTCTGGTTGTCGCACCCGTTCGGGGTGGCTCTTTGGTTTTCGGCGCTCTGTTGGTTTTCGCCGCTCCTTCCGTTTGCCCAGAAGGGGTGGAGGCGGGAGGGGCTTTCGGCAGGGGAGGTTCAGAGGGAGGGGGGGGGGAGCTAAGCCCCCCCCCCTTTGGAAAGGGAGGGGGCGGGGGTAGCTTCGGGAGCGCGAAAGGCGGGGGCGGGAGGGGGGGAGCTTCCGAGGGGCAGGAAAATATGGGGGGGGGAGGTCCAAGAAGGGTCCAAGGGTCCAAGGCTGGGTGGGTAGCTAAGCCCTCCCCCGCCCCGGCTGGACAGGGAGGGCGGGGGGTAGCGCTTCTGGAGCGCGGAGGGGAGGAGGGGCGGACAACACATGGAGGGCGGGGGGGGGTCGTCTTTCCCAAACCGAACGGGTCTTCCCAAACCAAGCCTTCAGTTAGGGTGACCCGGGGCTTGGTTTGGGAACACCCGCTTGGTTTGGGAAGACCCTCTTGGTTTGGGAAGGCCCAGGCTTTAGTTTGGGAACGTCCGGTTGGTTTGGGAAGACCCGGATGGTCTGTGAAGATTTGGGGGCTTGGTTTGAACAAGACCTGGTTGGTTTGGGAAGACCCGTTTGGTTTGGGAAGACCTTGTTGGTTTGGGCAAGACCCGGTTGGTTTGGGAAGACCCGGGGTTTTGGTTTGGGAAGACCCGCCTCGTTTGGGAAGACCCGTCTCGTTTGGGAAGACCCAGGGGCTTGGTTTTTGGGAAGCCTTGTTGGTTTGGGAAGACCCGGGGGCTTGGTTTGGGAAGACCCGGTTGGTTTGGGAAAGCGCGGTTGGTTTGGTAAGACCCTGGGGTTCGGTTAGGCAAGACCCATTTGGTTCAGGCGGAACCGGGTGCGAAACGAAGACGAGAACGAAGGCGGGAACGAACGGCGGAAACGAGGGCCAAACGGAGGCGAAATGAAGGCGAGAACGAGGCGGGAGCGTGAGCGGGAACCAAAACGAAACGAAAGCGAAACGAAGGCGAGAACGAACGCGGAAACGAGCACGAAACGAGGGCGAAATGAAGGCGAGAGCGAAAGCGAGAACGAGAGCGGAAGCGAAAGCGGAACGATGGCGAGATGAAGGCGGACATTACGGCGAAACGAAGGCGACGACAAAGGCAAGAACGAGACGGAAACACAAGCGCAACGAAAGCGAAACGAAGGCGAGAACGAGGGCGAGAACAAGACCGAAAAGAGGGCGAAACGAAACGAAACGAAGGCGAAAACGAAGGCGAGAACGAGCGCGGAAATGAAGGCGAAACGAAGGCGAAACGAAGGCAAGAACGAAGGCGGGAACGAAGGGCGGAAACGAGGGCCAAACGGAGGCGAAACGAAGGCGAGAGCGTGAGCGGAAACCAAAGCGGAACGAAAGCGAGACGAAGGCGAGAACGAAAGCGGGAACGAGACGGAAACGGGCACGAAACGAGGCCGAAACGAAGGCGATAGCGAAGGCGAGAACGAGAGCGAAAACGAAACGAGGGTGAAACGAAGTCGAGACGCAGGCGGGAAACGATGGCGGATACAAAGACAAACGAAGACGAAACGAAGGCGAGAACAAAGGCAAAAACGAGAGCGGAAACGAAGGCGAGAACGAAGGGCGGAAACGATAACGAGAACAGGGGCGAGTCGGTCGAACGGGCGGACCCTGACGGGCGGGTCGGGTCGGGCGGGCGGGACACGCAAGTCCAATACATCATCGAGTTGGCGCGATTGTAGCCTAACGGGCGGGTCGGTCGGGCGGGCGAGTCGAGTCCGGCGAGTCGAGTCTGACAGGCAAGTCAGGTCGGGCAGGCGTAATTACCCTAACGGGCGGGTCGTGCCGAGCGGGCGGGACATTCAAGTCAGAGTGAGGGGGCCGAACGGTCATTCATTGTCCCTGGGTGCGTGGCTGAAGTGAGATTCCGCGGTGCGGATTCGTGTTGTTGTTGTTGTTGTTGTTGTTGTTGTTGTTGTTGTTGTTGTTGTTGTTGTTGTTGTTGTTGTTGTTGTTGTTGTTGTTGTTGTTGTTGTTGTTGTTGAACATTATTAATTCTAAAGAATAATTATTGTTGGGGCCCCTGGTGCACGGCCCCCCTGCGCCGCCTAGGCCGCAGCTACATTTTCATCATTTTCGTGAGGAAGCCTCAGGTAATTCGATGTGATCAAGATCCGGTTGTTTTGTTGTAATCCGCTTTCCCTTGCAAAAAACATTATAAAATGACATTTCTTGTTCTAATATAATCAAATTTCAAGAATCCCTTGCAAAAAATAAGGTAAAGTGGACATTCGCGCGCGCAAGACGAAATCCTTCCAAAAGCTTAGTGTTCGGAGCGATTTTAACATAAAAACATCAAAAAACCAATGGTTTTTCAACAAAAAAATGTCAAAATCTCATCCCGCGCGCTCTTGCGGATTCGTAGGAAACCCAACACTTTTTAAACATTTCTGTCAAACGGGCTTTTGCGAGCAACTTTTTCGAACTTCTGCGACAACGGTTGCGCACCTGCCAGGGCCATCATCCCTGTCAAATAATACCATGCGGGACACATTCGTTTTTTCTTCGCGCGCGCACGCCCAGGAATTCCACAAATGTGACCAACTATCTTGCGAGTACGTATCATCTCATGTGTGTCGTGCACACTATCAAATGTAACAGAGTTGTGTATTCCCATCATCCCAGGAACTTGACCCAAAAATGTGACCAACTCCGCTCTCTCTGTCTCTCTCTCTGTCTGCTCTCTGTCTCTCTCTCTGTCTCTCTGTATTATGTATTGTATGGCACAATTGCACCATGCTGGGCACATGCGCGCCCCGAATAAGTGACCAAGTTCTGTGGGTGTGTACCCCACGCCAGTGTAGTAGCCACGGTCGTCCGCACGCCACGAAGTGAAGTGTCCCAAC